TAATCGCTTATTTGAATCGTATCGTTTTATCCGTTACTGCGCCGATTGTGAATAACACTTATTAGGATGAATCTGGATGAGATAAATGTAACGTGTGTGAGATGGATCGTTATTATGCTTCATGATATATTTAATTTCAAGCATTTCCAATCCTCTGTTCTTCGCGCTACGATTCGATTCGAGATAAAAATGGATCAATAATTTTTAAGAAAAATATTATCGCAATTTTATTATCATCCACAAATTCTTTCAATACGCCACAAAAACCTCTCTACGCAATACCAATTCGACTCGTAAAACGTAATTCCATCCTCCCCTCCCCTTAGGAATTACCTTTATATCGTTCGATTTACGAGAGTTCGCGCTTCGGCCAAATTTCTCGATCAGTCATATTTCACGGTAATTAGTCGAGGAAGATTGTTCAGGGTCGCTCGAGAGAGGCCTCGTATTCTTCGTATATTAAGAGAGTCCCTCGGAACCCACCATCTTTATGAATACGAAATGAGGGCGCGTTGGAGAGGGCCCGGCAAGAGAGTGGACGGCTAGAGCCGACTCGATCGTTCGACTCTCGCGGGAAAAGCCCTCGGTTTCGTAATAAATTGGGACGGAATCGTAAAGAAGGAAGAACGAAGGAGGAGGAGGAGGAGGGCAGACGAGAGGCCCGACCATGAAACACTCGGCTGGCTGCCGATCGTTAAAGAATAAAGAATGGTAATATTATGCCTCGCGGATGCTTCGAGAGAAAGAGAGAGAGGGGCCCCGTTCGTGTTGGCCCCGAGACGTGGTTCGAAGAGAAAGGCGTGGAAACTACAAAGTAAATTCGTCGATATTAGCCCTCTCCTCGGGGATAGATTAATTTACCATGGTAATTTGGATGCGTTCGAGTACGAGTGTGCATCGGGGAAAGGATCGAACGATTTTTCGACGACTGTTCTCTCGTGGTATCTCGATATCTAGGCGCGGAGAGTTTTGTGCCTCCATGGTTAAAACTCGCCTGGCTCGAACGAGGGATCCTAAGAGACACGCCCTAAGAGGAGAGCGTGGTGGTGGGCTTGGGATGAGAATTTTAATTTAATTAAGATAGACTCGCGTTATTAAGACCCACGTCCAATCGGGGAGATTAGAATTCCTTCCCGTGAGCGGGAAGTCGCCTTCGTGAGTCGGCGACCTTTCCTTGGGAAAAGACTGGAGAACTCTCGAGTTCTCGGGTTCGACGGCTCGTAAATAATCGTTCGGAAATTTTTTCCATTTGGAAAGAAGAATAACGTTGGATGGAAGGAATGTCCACGTATCACCAGCCTGTTATACTTTATATACCATATCCTGTTATTAATAACCGATATTTACACAACCCGGTGCACAATTCGTGTTACACATGATATATTCAAGTTTCCGCTTGTTGGACGATTATTTTGTATTTATGTTACCTCTGAAGAATATTTATCGTCGAATCGATCGTTTCGTGCATTATACATCTCTCCATACTTTGAATTACCAACTAATACGTCAAATTACGCGTTCAACTCGTCCATTCCAGCACGATACTATCGATCCAATTTTCTTCAAATTCATGGGGTAATATCGAAAGCGTTAGTTTGTGTATCGAGTAAACGAATAAATTCCGAATAGATAGTTTCCCGACTAGGTCGAGATACGATCAAGAGTGTCGGCGAAGGCGTCGTCGAAGCAATAGAGAACGAGATACAGGGACTTGTCGTTCGTCGTGCACGGTAAATGCAAAACGTCAGTTTCGTGACAGCGGTAACATAGTATCCGTTGTATACGATCGTAGAACCGCGGTTCTCGGCAAACGAAACGTACGATTAATTTAATGCCCGAAGCCACGCGAGATCCGCGTGTAGGCGTCGCAAAATATCCCTTCGCTTTTGACGCGTTCCCCGCACAACCTCGATCATTAACGCGAAACAGTCTCGAAGCTTTTCTAATGAACACGTCAAATCCAAAAGCTCGACCTGTGCTGTTGCGCACATATACCCCTACCCGATTAAGAAACAAACTTCGATTACCGGGAACTCCTTTACCCGCGAAACTTGCTCGATCGAATCTCTGGATATCTACATCGAACGCGCGTTTTCCTTCACTCGCAAGAGTTTCGCGACATAACAGGTGGCAAACGATATAAAGTACGGTATCGCGTTGAAGCTATATATTCCGCTTGATCGCTTCTTTCCCCTCCCTCTTTTCTTTCTCAACCCCTAATTTACCCTCCAATTCGTTTTCGAAATCGGGGAATCGAGTAATTGGAAGGATTAAAATATTAATTGGAAGGAAAAAATTACGAGGAAAAAGAGGGAGGGGGAATTTTGGAATCGAGGAAAACTCGTGATGAAAAATCGGTAAAGTTTCGAATGTAATTCCGAATCGAAAATGGCTGGGACGCGGTGAACGGTGAACGGTGACGCAGAGTCTCTCCGAAACTGTCGTTATTTATGTGTTTGGTGAGGCGACACGGCGTGTGGGTGTCGAAACCCGGTGAGCGCCACAGGAGCTCGCGGGCAACGTGCCGCGTGCCCGCGTGGACGAGTACCGGCGAGTAGCAACTGTTCCCCAACTCTCCCCCCCCCCCCTCCTCCTCCTCGAACAAATGCAATCGAATCGTCTCCAATCGTCTCGAATCGGACCTTCGATTTTATTTCGATCGATTTCTTACATTGAACTCGAATTACTCGGTTACATATAAGCGAGTTTCTTCACATCCCTGGTGGAAATTAATGAAGCAAAGTCTGCAAAAGTTTTTAGATAGGGGAATACATGGAACATGGACGTCTCGACATCGAGAGATGGCATAATCCTGACGCTTCTTCGACGTGGAAGTGGAATGGCGAATCGTGAATCATTGGGCAAATTTGCGAGTGCCATCGCGTTCGGTTTGCAGGGGCGTGCATTTGAATAAAAACGACAGTCGTGCATCGGTATACGTTCGTAAGGGGGCAACAGGAATAATAGGAAGGGTGGACACTTAAGTGACATCGTCCCGCAAAGTACCAATGTCCCCTTTATATTCAAGAACATAAGCTCGCAAAGTTATTGGCCCATTCGGACCTCCTGCCTCCACGAAACACCGTCCCGTTTCTCATTCGCGTGTCTGATGGCGTTACTTTGCGCCCTCCAATCCCACCCTTTCCCTCCCCAACTTTCTCCCAAACCGTCTCTCTCTCTCTCACTCTTTCTCTCGATCTTCTCTTTCTTTTCTTCCCCCCCTCCCCATCTCCAATCGAGTTATCCCGACTCTTTTGAGACATCCGCAAAACGACCACGAACGTAAAAACGATCGATTCGAATCATCCATAATCTCGTATCCATCCGAGGGAACGAGTATATATCGTGTATAAATCGTGGTTTAAATCGACGACAAAAGATTCTTCTCGATTTATTGGTGAAATTACAAGGTAAAGATAAATATCGAGAACAAGTGTTATAACACGCGTATCGCGATTGCTTTTAAATTAACCAACCATTTCTTATATACGACTTTTAAGTAATCGCATCCGAAAGTCGAATCGTTTCTCTTAAACCGTATAAATGTTAATCGAGCGTGTTATTCGAGGCCTGCTCTTTAAAATAGTCGAAAAATCTTTTTCGTAATGAAATTTCCTTCGGGGGGTCAGACGCATCCTCGGGATGGTTGATTTAAAATTCTAGCTAGGGAGATTCGGAATAATGGATCGGTCGGTTCCATCGGACTTCTAGATTCCCGTGTAAAGGCTGAAGGAGCGTTTTGGTCGGCTACCGGATAGCGAATATATATATATACATACATACATACATATATATATATATATACCGAGTATCCTAAAGCAGGAGGAGAAGAGTTCCAGGGGAGTAAATGACAGGCCCCGCTGGCCGCTTCGGGCCCCAGAGATGATTATTTTGATTAATTTCTCCCGTCATTCGGTAGCCGAGTCGTGCCGCCGATATATTCACGTGAAACGCGATTCGCTTCTAATTTCGTTGTAATTGAAATCTATGCGGAATAATCAAACGGATAAAAAAACAAGAGGAAATGATATTCGATTGGCGGATAAAGAGGATGAAGACAAGTGAAAAAATAGTTGGGAACGAAAATAAAGATTGGATAAAGATTGGATGCGAGACAGTGGCTACGATGACGTAGTTGCTCGTCATTCTTTCATCGAGAAATTACGTACAACGATCATCTCGCGTCTGGGTAATTCGATCTAATTCCGCGATCCACCGGTGATTTTGGCTATCTTCCATAATCGAGCAGACCCGCCTTACGCCAAGAAACCGAACCCGTAATGGGCTGGAATTAAGAGGAAACGTGCTCTTCGCTAATCTATTAATTCCTATACACGAAATTACCACCGGGCGTCGACAGAAACGAGTTTTCGCGAAACCGCTTCTACCGTGTATTCTCCTTTTTTGCCGTTTCGTTCCCTTTACTTTCTCTTCCTTTTTCTCTCTTTCTCTCTCTCTCTTTCTATACCGTTCCTCTCTCTTAATCCACAACGTGTGTTATTACGTAAATCACGATTATTTACTACTTACTTTCGAAAACTTACTTTTCTCTTGTATACGCGATATCGGAACAGAAGAGGAGATAGAACATCTCTTCGAATCGTGGATTGGCATTTCCACTTCACGAAAATTGCCGGAAATCTTGGTTTCGAACGACGAAAGTCGAGAGATAAGAATGCATTCTCAAGGATTCTGGCTAGTGAACCGAGTGGTGTAGAGATCGAGGCAAACTTATCTTCCAAAGAGAGGAAACATTTGTCCCTTGTCTGACTTATCGTGGCTACTCTTCTATTCTGACTGAAACAATTCCATTTTCGAATATTGCACGACGAGAAATAGGTTCGTTCTTCGCTGGAAAAAGAAAGAAAGAAAAAGAATTTTTAAAACACGCTTTATATATATATATATATATATACATCACTTTTATTCCTTCGAAAGATATTGAGATAGAATAAGAAAATAAAATAAGAATAGGTAAAGAAATAAAAAAATAAAAACGCAGTATTGATTCGCAATTATTTGTATTTACCTATAAACAATTCGATGGTTCGATCCACGTTAAGTAAAAGTTTGGTTGGCGCGCGTGTAATTAATGTAAACGAATAACAACAATTACAAGAAGGTTCTAGACAGGGTTCGCGATATCGATCAAGTTCTCGAAAGGCGGTCGGTGAAGAAAATTGCTCACATTTCTTAGGATAGGGTTGCAGAGTGCAACACGCGTATTTTGTTTTTCGAAAGCAACGAGCATCAAGCTTTCAGGCCCTAAAGAGCAACAACGAAGAACGGACAGCAGATCCGGCGCTGACGCTCATTACGATGATTGGCAGATTCAATTAACGAGCAGCCGGGCTCCAGCACGGCGGGGTCGCCTCGGCTTAACCTCGACTAAATATTATTAATAATAATCAGCTCATTACCGGCTCCATTAATTATCCGGTTGTATATACGAGTTATACAGCCTCTAAGAGCGCACCAGATTCCATAAGATTCGAACCGATATCCTCGATATAATCGATACGAAACAGTTTGCTATTTCGTTTATTAGTTAGCAGAGTCGTTAGGATCGCGCTAATCGTAAGATCGAAACGTGCCAATACGTTGCCAACGAGTTTAAAAAATACTTTACAACAGGATATTAAATCGGCGGAAAGGATTCGACGATTCTCATTTTCCCATTAAATCGGATCATCGAGCGTTAAAATCCTTCTGCTTCTTTCAACTAAAATGCTCCTTTCAACTTTTTTTCCTCCAAAATGATCTTGAGATTATATACAGTCCAGGATTCAATGTATCCGATCGATGCTTTCAATGTATCCAAACGATGTTCGATCCTTGGTATCGATCGTGAAACTGCTCTCGAACTGTAACAACGAAAGAAAGTGATGTATTCCGAAATAGTTTCGTATAGTTAGTAGGACTGGAATATCCAGCTTAAACGGCAGAAGGAGGGAAAAGAAAAAGTGGAATATTAATCCATTTAACAAACTCATTATCGATGAGATATATCGAACGTTTACTGTGCGCGTCGGCGGTGCGAACGTGCTCCTCCTATCCTAAAGGAACCCCGGTAATATTAGCGGGTTGGCACCCCTGCGGCTTGATTTACGGGCGCGCACTAACGAGCCTCGGCCTGCGTCAAACGCGAAGAGGTGGTGCAACTCCGTTCACCAACTCTCGATCGTCCAACAGCGCTGACTGCACGATGCACCACGATCGGCAGTATCGCCTAAATTTATTCCATGCCCATCAACCGTCCAACTATCTAAGTACGATGCGAACAGTCAATTCTTCGATGTATCATAAACAACGTTCTATTCGCGAAAAAAGAAATAATGTAGCGAAAGATCTCGTATCTTTCACTCGAACACAAAGAAAAACTCACTCGTTTTATCCTTTATTTAGAGTCCCTTCGAAATTATATTTTGAAATGTAATTGCCATTCGTTCGTGTATCGATGTGCTCTCTAATGCTCCAGAAATTGGAATAATCGGAATGAATGCATCTAGAAGAAATGAAAATCAATCAAAAGGTTGAATCCGACAATATGCCAAATGACTTGAAAGTTCGGAACAAGCCGACATTGCCGGCCCCCGAGGGCTGATTGGGTCGTATTTGGCTGTAATTAAGGCACCGGCGGCGGCCATTAGCAACCGTGAAAACGAACAACATTGTTCCGCGGGCGAAATGTGAACGATGCCATTCAACGCGAACTGATACTATAACCAAACTTTAAAATGATGAACCGAAATCTCACGTGGAACTAGAAGATGTAAATACGAAAAAAGCACTTATTTATTTGTGTACTTTTAAAAAATTTAATCGCGACACGTGCCTAACCTCCAATTCGCGATTATTGTTATGAGTACACTGGCCTTTGCCATGGTACAACTAACTCCATCTTAAAATTCCATAGAGGCAAGAACTATGGTAGACGTGAAAAGTAATCGTTAGTTCGTAAGAGATACACGTGAGGCCGTGGCTGACAGATCAGAACGAATACGACAACAATACTGTTCGACTCGCATAATTGGCGCCATGGGCACCCGGTGGGAGCATCTCACGGCACAGCGAGGTGAGACGCCGATACAGGATGAAGAGATTTACAATGTTCCCGGCCGTAAAATAATCAATAAAATCTGTACAATGTAAAGAAACAGACGTGCGGCAATGATTTAGTATGCGGAGCGCCGGCTCTGCTATTCTCTCCTTCCTTCGACTGTTTTTCTGTGCTAGACTTAAGGCCCGATTACGCGAACAAATTCTATCTATTTTATGAAATTACGTTAATTTATTTCAGAATTCGGAGAGAAATGGTATTTTTATTGTTTCCAATATTCCGAAATTAAACGTTTTTATCAAGTCACGAAACGGAATATTGGCGTGATAATTATCATTTGAGATCACGTTATTTTTTGAAAAATACGATTCAATTATTATAAATATAATTGTATTGTATTGAAACCAAATGTTTTAATATGAAAAAAATGTCAAAAATATAAACAAAAAAAAAGGACAGGAAAAATTATTAAAGAATTGCTCATTGCTCGCACGAATGATAACTATTTAAGTACTCGCAATTGCCAATCGAATGACAACATAATATCGAAATAACAAAAAGTCGTCGAAAATTTTGTGGCATTCCTTGACACGCCTTTATCTTTATAAAACAAGCACCGCTGTAATGAAGACCGAGGATATAATTAGGGTCGAGTAATCAAGTCGTATGGGCGGATTCAATGTGGGTAGAGCTTTAGGTTTCTGGTGGGAAATACACCGAGTCGCCGCAGGGTTTTGCAGCAGGAGCCGACTATGGTGACGAATTTACGAGCTCCTTACAAGGCTGCCTTCTTCGAGCATAGCCAGCAATAAAGTACGAGGCCAGAGGATATTCGAAACAATCGTCCGAAAGGCCAGGACCTATCTCCACGCAAAATCCTCGGATCAAATTTAAAATTGATTTATGAACGATCATTTATCGATCTTTGTCTTCCCAATCTATTCTAATCGCATTTATTTCACTTCCTGGCTGCATCTAGCTCGCGAAATATTATATTTTACGCGCGCAAATTAATTGTCACCAACGAGTTCAACAAAGTTTCAGATATAAGTATCGCAAAATAGAGGATTGATAAAACTTGGAACAATTTTGCGGAAAAAATGGAAAGGTAATGAATAATATTTTCACTTACAAGATAGGAATGCAGGAATAAAAGTAGACAGAGGTTGTTTTCCAGAAGATTGAAAGGATAAATGTTTTATCTCTTCGACTAGAAACTGTCTTCTCACAAAGCTTCTCACAAAATTAATCAACATGGCGTCGTCACTCTCAATTTGAATATGGTGGCGCTATCTATCGGAGCGTCTACCATTTAATAAAATAGGCTTCTTTCCATGGAAATATTTCGCGCGCTCGTTTTATGAAATCATTCGTTTTATGAAAATAAATTTTATCTGATCGTATTCATGTTGAATGTCGGATTCTTGAATGTAGATGTAGCTTCCTTATAAAGCGGATTATCCCTCTAAATTAACAAATGTTGCTTAATTAAAATAATATTTATATTTATAGATTTAAAATAAAAAAAAAAATTAATATCGTTTACCCTATTCCATTTATTAGCCAAAATTCGTTCACGCTCGAATTTTTTAAATTCGCGATTATCGCGAATCATTGTTAATATCTTCCAAGTAAGAAGAATCATAAAACCGATAATTACAGTACTAATTATTAATCCCACAGCAACACCTACAATAATTCACTCGATATGATACGTAGTATCATTAATTTATTATGATTGCACTTACCAAGAACGTTAATAGGTACAGGACATGACTTCTCTCTTTCAGCTAGGATCTTGAATATCTTAATATCTCCTCCAGTACCGTCTCTGTAATATTCGTATTTGAACACAAACGTGCATCCACCATCCCCAGGAGTTCGACAAATACGAGCTCCGTTTCCTTGATCTTTTCCTGAATCTTCTACGATCTTATCTACCTGTTCAATTGAAAATTGCATAAAAAGAAAAATTACTAACTAATATTTCTAGAGAAGATTGTCTCACAATATCTATTTGATGCATGCATTCGTCACATTTTTCACTTCTAGCAAGAGGACCGGATTTGTGCACCACACATTCGACGCAATTCTTCAATTGCTCGCATCGTTGATCAGGACATATCTAAGAAACGCAAAAACAACTTTTATCTCTTTAATAAATACCTAGAATATATTCGTATATCGTGAAGCGGAAAAAAGACTTACGGGACACTCTTCGCAATACTGGCCGGAATATCGAATATTGTCTTTTTCATGACAATAACAGCTACCGCAAATGCAATCGCCGCGCCCGCTACAAATCTCCATAGTTTCGCTGTTGCTCGAGATGCATGTGCTATTCGTTTCTTTGCAATCGCACATCTCGCCACCCCATCCCGGGAAGCAATTGCAAGTACCACATTCACACTTCCCTCGCCCGCCGCAAACCTTAAACGCGCAACAACAACAGTCAGATGGAATAATACACACGTAAACACGTGTAATTTATCTATCGCCTGTTTCGAAAGGTGCAGGTTTCCTTAAAAGGGAAATTACTCGAGCAATTTCGCCATACGAATAAACGATTCCGAAGTAAGTTTACGATCCACGAACTGTACGTTTCGTCCGTAACTGATAACAAGAGGTAAAATACCTGTACTGCGCGTATAGAGAAATCGTTTAACTGTCATTCTCCTCGTGCTTTAAAATATCTTTCGATAACTATTCGCGATCGAGTATACATCCCACGTCGTAGAAAAACCATCCTTTTCTTCCTGAAGCGTAATTGAGGCAAATATTCACTTACTAATCCCTCTTTGCGTTTGCAAGAGAAATTATCGCATTCGCAATATTTCCCGTAGAAAACTTCTTGCGGATTTGGACGTTTCACGCACTCGCATACACCGCACTTGCAAACTCCATGATCGCTACAAATTTCAGCGGTCTCGTTGTTAGGCTTGCAATCAGCCATAGCAGCTGCACTCTCCGCTCTGGCATCGTTTCCTTCGCATTCGCACTGCTTCCCATAAAAGCCATCATCGCAGGAGCATATACCGCAAACCAGAGTACCGTTCCCTCTGCAATTTTCCGAAGCTGGCGTGTATCCCTACATTTTCATTCGAAAACGTGCGAAAAAGAGAAACGTTTAAATAGCGTATACGCACACTACATGTGAACGTAACTATTTCAATGAGAAGATTCGCGTTCAATTATAATCGCCTTTACCGGATGTCCTGGCCGTTCGCAAGGACAATCGCATGCAACGCTCAGATTGATCGTCAGACTTTCGTTTATACCCCTGGGTTTAATATGCATACTTGTCTGCCATTCGTTGGAATCCTTTGGACATTCGATCGCCTGCAATCGAGAAAAAAATAATAATTCTCAAATAAACGAAACGATATGATATTCATACAACGCAACGTTCGATGAATTTGCCGATTTATTTGCAAATTACCTGTAACGTTACTTCAAATTCCACGATATTCCCCACTCGTAATCCTCCGCATTCCTGTCGTTCTTTTAATTCACCATTTTTATCCAAACATCGTGAGAAATATTTCACATCGATCATTTTTGGCGCATCGTCCGTCATTATTATGGTGTTCACCAATTTCTGAACAAATTGTTAACATTTCTTTTATATGTATACGATAATATATTCGTGTAATAATATTCGGAAATTGATTCAAACAGAATACCTCGTATTCTCCACTGACAAGAGCAACTACATTTTTAGAATTCCTTTCTATCGTTCCGATAGAAGAGCCTCTGATACTTTTACTCAATAATTGATACGTCTCGTTTCGATTGCTCGTAACCGCAAATATGATGTTCATGTTGTTCTCGCGAGCTACTTTGTTGATCTTAATTAAAATGTAATCGTTAATTTAATATTTCAATTGTTGGGAAAGAAAGATTTGCATACCTGAGATATAGATGGATAATCTTGAAGAAGCGAGTACGTGTAGAACCCTTCTGAGTCCAAATGGCAGAGGCAATCATTGGGCTCGATGATTCCCGCAAGCTGAAACGCAATCGTGTTTTTATTTTTAAAGGACAAATTAAATTGAAACAATCTTTGTTTCAATATTCATCTCACATACTCTGCCATCTCCAGCGATGTGAAAATTAGCGTCTGTTGAGAAAACGATAAAATGCCGAGCATTCTGCCGCCAGCCAATTTCCTTGGTGCAAACCATCGCTTGCATCATCGCGTCAAGTCCACCCTCGGGTGAATCCAAATTACCAGACACCGGAGCTTCTTGTACGCGCGTCTGAAAATTAATTAATCAACATCAAGAGATTAAAGATTAATTAATTATTACGCAAAAAAAAAAAAAGAGATGACAGAATTACTTTAAAAAGAGCAATGTTTTCGGTAAGAGGCATCTGATTCTTGTATCCATATGGTGGTGCGCATGGTTTCTTAGTTTTATCTAAGTTACACGGTGATCTCAATCTGGAAGGGAAAATGATATGATGGATGATAAAATCGTAGCGATATTGATGGAACGTGAACGTTAAACTTCTTTAGATACTTGTCCGGTTGCGTACTGGTCATAGGTAGTACAACTTTATCCACGAAACTACCAAATCCTAGGCGAAAATTTGAAGTCAAGTTTCGCATAGCTTCGGCCAATTGAAATCCCAATTTTGATAATTGATCCCTGTAATCTTCCATGGACTTTGATAAATCCATCAGATAATACAAATCGACCGGATAATCCTCTGCTTGACTGTATTTTAAAGTCAATCGATATTCCTCGCCTATAAATAGTCAAATAGAATTATATATTTTCACCAAAGAGATACAATTTTATTTAATCTCGATTATAGATATACTTCCCTCGCCTGAGTCTCAAATCAATTTTTTGAGGTTGAATTTGAACGGGATCCGTGCCTTTCGTTGAGGACAGTGGACGATTTTCGAGAATCAACATCTTATTCGTCTCAATTATCACGTCCGACGTTCGACACCAATGATCACCTTCGTTTGAAAATTTTTCTCTGGTGATACAGCGAACCAGTGGATTGTTCACGCTTTGATTAGAGACCTAAAAAAACAAATCTATTATTATTTATAACAAAGTGAAATATTTTTTTTCATAAACAATTGTAATAACGATAATTATGAACCGGAGTAGAACACCAAACACATCGCGGGGTTTGCAAGCAATTTTTGCAAGATTGTTGAGATGCACAAAGGATTTCTGAATCTTTATATTCGCAAAATATAAATGAAGAAAGTTGAACACAAAAAAAAAGTATCGTCCAGGTGGTCATTGTTTTAAATATTAATTTCGTTTTAAACATTAATTTCGTTTTAAACAAAGCGAAATGTGGCTGGCCACTTTAAAGGATATAGTGGTATTCCACGGAAATATACCACAGATAAAAAGAGTGTGCGTCATTAGGTAACTATTTTCTCTGACGATTATATCTTAATCAGAAAGTGAACGTTAAACAAAGAAATTAAAGGGATCGGAATTTATTATAAATTAATACGATTTATTTAGATGAACATTTTAATAAATTATTACGCGCACATTATAAAAATATTATTATAATATACTTATTTAATAAGTATATTATATCTAATAAGTATACTATAACTAAATATTTAATTTATTAAGTTAAAATATAATATAGAGTGACATCTCTTAGCTAATAAAAAAAGTTTTATTTATCTAGTACCACGTATGATAAGTACGTACAACTTCTATACCATGTTCTGGAAATGTAGGTATTTCCAGACATAAGTTGAAGTATAGAAGTATATTTAAACGTTGAAAGATGGCGCAACAGGAATGAATCAATATGTAGAAATTAGAAATGTAAAATCGACAGTGGTGAGGAAACAACTTGAGACGAAGGATTGTGTACCTTCGGTGATCGTCTCTTTCATCGGCAAGTTTCGCTCACGACGGTATGTGTCTTAATGCGGAATGTAATTTTATTTTAAATTAATTATAATTTTAAAATTTTTCTTTCATTATGCATAGGAGTATTATTGTTGATTACGTAAGAGGACAGTCAAGAAAATTATTTTATTTATTTCATTAATTTTTAACTAACACAACTAATGGACTTCATCCGTTAAAAGTTTAATTAACAAAATATTGTATCAAGTTTTTAAAATTAATCAAAGAAGTTAATTAAAAAGATGTCAGAATAAAAAATTTATTAGTCTATGTCTATCTTAATGATGTTCTAGTGTGTTCTTCGTGTGAATTTTGTAGGTTAATCATGTCCCACATAGTATTTCTCTGCTAATACAGAAATATTTAATTAAATTTATTTTATTATGAACTTCGTTCGAATAAAAATTAAATTTCAACAATAAATTTCATAGTATGAGATATATTTCTTTATTTCATATATTATATCGGCATATATAAAAACCTGTACAAATGGAATGATAAATGTGCCGCAAACGTGGTTTTAAAGAAAAACCATATTATGATATATTCGAAGTAGTAGTATATCATTCGTATTTAAATATTTTTCTTATACTGTAGAATTTATTCTTTGAACTTTTTTAACAGAAATTTATAAAACTAAAAATAAAAATGTTACAATAAAATTGAGTGTTTATATTTTAAATAATTTAATCTTTTTTTATTTTATGTGACACACAAATAATATTAAACCGAAAAAAGATATATTTTATTATACTATCTATTAATAGCTGAAAATATCCCATATGATTACATAAAGATACTAAAATATAGAATAACATTTTATAATTTTAAACGGCGCCAAGCCTAGTTCTAATCTAATGATATGCGTTAGATTGTTTGATGTAATATAATACTAACTTTACTTACAAAATGATTTTTGTTTATATATTTAATAGTCACTGCGTTAATGATGTGCGACATCAGTCGCACTTTTTGGTAACCTCAATGAAATGTCATTGCAAATCAAATAAGAGCAAAAATAAACGGATTCACGTAAATCTTTATATTAAGGAGATTACAACATTTCATATATTATCTTTGAATTCGCATTAATTTTTGAATTAAACAAGGGTATGCATTCGTCATTTTTTATCACCATAATTTTTATGTCATTTATTATGCCATTATTTTTCATGTATTTTTAATTTAAAAAATTAAAATAAATTAATGTATAATTAATAGTGAAAAAATTTAAAAAATAATAAAATAATTTTATAAACAAGACACTAATCATTTTTTAAGAAAATTTAAATATTAATATATAGATATACTGTTTAGAACAAATATATTATTCAAATTTTTTAAGATAATCATCATTTTTGGATGTAATCCAATTCTACACATATTTCATTTGTGAATTCAATATCTGTTTCTTATATAACAAATATATATCTGATTAATATAATCTATATTTTTTTTAGAATACGAAGCAAAGCCTTGGTGTAGAGATGTATCTGACTCCTGCCACTCTCTATGCTCTCAGATTATCATTGCAACAGGTAAAAAAACATATTTAACTGTTACAAAATGATAAAGATTATGTAATGACATATACTTTGATATTTTCTTAAGTTAGAAATATTATAATTTAATTCGTTTGAATTTTAATCTTATATGAAAAACAAATTAATATATTTTTTATTACAGGGAACCGTTTCGTCTGTATTTCGTAGGAATATGGTCGAACGTAATATGACCAAATCAGCGTATATCCTTGCAACTGTTGGCCTATCTATGAGTATATTTTCTGTGAGAAAAATGTTAACCTCTAAACACGGACGTCATTTGTAACAATTTTTTGTTAAAATCAGCAGCAACAAATACAGTTCTAAAAAGAAAAGGAACGAAAAGAGAATAGATAAAAAAGAAAGAAGAAAAAAAATATTAGGATTCAACATATCCGAATCATTATTGGCAACGGAAATTTTTCATCGAATTTTAGCATCTTATTCACGCCGAAATGTATACTTATTTTATATTGGAAATCAGTTGTCTTGTATTATTGAACTAATCTTTTATAATCGATCTATTATCGTCTTCTAAATATTAAACATTTCCTAATGTAGCATATTAATTATAGAAAACTTATATGCGGTTTCGCATTTTAATACGTACTTCAAAGCTTTAAAAAAAGAGTTAAAGTACTAGAAAATAGAAAAAAATTGTATTAAGCGTGCAATAATATAATTTCGCTTAAGCGATAAATCGGCAATTGTTTTATATTTTGAAGCTTTTTATTTATTTGATCAATGTCTCATATTTCGCATATTTCACAAAAATATATATATACATATATATATATATATATATGTATAAATGCGATTTTGGACGGTAATTTGTAAGAATTCGATTTAAAAATGTTATTTTCTAAAATGCAAAACCAATTTTTTGTCAAGAGAATCTTACTGCAATTGTTGCTGTTATTAAGTCATGAATACTAATAATCAAGTTATATAAACGCAACATTGTATACGTGTATAGATTGTATTCATTATATCGTAGTCAAATGATACAAAATTTTTGCTACACAAAGTTGAGTCTTTATTAGAAAATTTGTTTTTTTTTATCTCCTAGTCCCATTAATATTATGTTCCTATAATTGTAGTAAAATTTGTGATATTTGTAGACATGTAAAAATATTGAATGAAATTATTAAAATACATATTTGTGGATACATTAAATTTTTAGCATTGTTAGGAATAGTTTTTCCGTAATTATGAAATAATAAAAAGCGATAAAATCATGTTTATTAGACTTATAACGTATATATTTATTTATAATTATTTTACAGTCTCACACTCTATATTTCTTGACGCAATCTCATTCATACATTCCTACGTTCGTTCTTCCAACTTCTTACTTTTAACTCGTATTCTCAAAAATCATCTCATCCACACCAGGGAAACATCGACCGATTTATAATTGTCGTCAAATACATATATCGTACGTAAAAGAATTTCACGTCATCTTAATATGTAAAAAAATATTTGTTTTGTAGAAATTATTCTTTAGTCGATCCTTCCCTTTGTGTGCATGCAGAGCTATTAGCACACAAAATATATAAGTAGCTATAGAATTAAAAATACATAATCGTCGGACCGCTCGATTTTTCGGCAGGTCAAGACATTAAACATACAAAATGAAAAAACATAACAATATAGTACGATTATAACAATAATAACAATTATAAATTTTCAAGAAAGAAAGCACGACAGCGCTGATAATTTAATAATTCGTGCACGATTGAATCACAACTACTGTAAACTAATCGACTCGATATTCTTGTATTTACAGAAAAAACTTTGGCAATTGCTACACTTAATATACTTTGGCGGCGAATTAAAAACGCGTTTCTTAATGGTCTGTCTCTTCTTTCACCTTATAGACATATTTTGATCTTATGCTAACATAAAATGAACGAGTAGGAATCCGAGGACAACGAAGAAAAATGAGGACGAGTTCTTCGATTCCCCTAGTTAAATATTTCCTTAATTAATACGCTAATGGCAGTCTGGCAGAGAGGCAAGTGGTTGTTAAATATTATATCAATGATTAGAAATTTTAATTTTTTCTTATGCGAGACAGTACCAATTACTATGAATTCTGAGAGGTATGAATCTTATATCTTTGTAATTAACAGCTATTTTCTTTTTCACCTCTTTCTTACTACTATTCGATTACTCGAGCTGCCCGACGATATTGTGTTCGACTTTCACGAAGTGTATTTAATACTCGGTTCTTTGCATTTGAAAATATATTAATTTTAAATAACTTTTTACGATATTATCAATCTTTCCTCATGAATTAAATATTAGATGTATGCTGATTAAAAATAAAAAATATCCTCGTAAAAGACGAACATATTCGTGCCATTAGGCTATGTAATAAAACACTATCTAAGAATCAATATAATATGATTTGAAATCTTGCGTCTTTTAGACTATTTTTTTCCATAGCTACTGCCCAAGCTTGTCCTCTCTTCGATATTCTTCTAGAATTGGTAGTGCAACATACAGTTGGAACATTATTCATTCGTCAAAAATTTGTAATTGGTAAGTTCACGAATCATCGTTGTCACTGTCATGTCTCTTGATCTTACGATGTAAAAAAAGGTAAGTCTGTAAACAGTAAAAAGAAAAAAAATTAGAATAGATAGAATAATAAAAAATTATCAGCTGCACAATACGAACAAAAAACGTTGAACGAATCATGATAAATTTTACCTATATAAATAGATAAATCACTCATCTTTACAATATAAATAGTTAAATAGTTAATTTTTTTCATTAAAACGATTAAGATATTATTAAAAAAATAAATTTCGCATTTACAATTATTCACGACGAAGTTTTCTTACTTAAATATTAATTAAAACATTCGCTTTTTTTTCTACTTGATATAATTTATATAGATTTATTTATAAATTAATAAATTAATCAAATATTCGCTATTTAAAAATTTAATTAAAACCAACATAAGATAATCGATATTGAGGCAAAAAATTGTAAAGAGAACCAATTCTTCATAACGTTTCACGTTCTTAATACAAATTGAATTTCGCATTTTATGCGTACAATTGGCCCCCATCATACGTAAAGACTCCATAGAAGTCATGCATATATTATCTTATTCATTAAAAAAAAAAAAAAAAAAAAAAAAAAGCAAAAGACAACTGAATTTATGCAATGATGCAAGAATGTTCATACATTGATATAAATATATTTTTTGCAATATGATAAAATACGTAACTTCGTTATCTCACTTTGTTCGTATATTCTACGTGAAAGACGTTAAAATTTCTAAAAAATGGTTCTTTTTTCTTGGTTTTAATTTCAAATATAAAATATTTTATAAAATCTGCAATAAAATAGAAACTTTTAATACACTTGACTCTGAAACAATTTGTAAATAAATTTAAAATAGTATACAAACAATATATTCGATATATCTAAAAGTATTTCACATTCAAGGCCAGACTATTATTTTTCTGTATTCTATCTTCATGATAAAATTTTTTTGCGTTAACAAATTTTTAATTCATCATATTTTTCGTATCGTTTGAAAACTGTATGCGCTTATCATTTATTCATAATTTTCGTATAAAATCTTTAAAAATGCATTATTTATATCTTTTTCTATTTTTTTCGAAACTTATATCGGAACATACATATATGTATATATGTATATAATCGAAATAATTAAGATTTTCTTCGTAAAAAACATTGTTTATAATTTTATACAACGAACTAAACACTTTTGCAATAATTTCTCAATCAACAAGTGCTTTGTTATATTGAACATCAATACCTAAATGTGTACTTTAACAATTTAAGCGCCACGTAGCATAACAGTGTTGCTCATAATCTACATCGAAAAATGCCGCAAATGCTAATTTTCTTCTATGCTATAAGCATTAATAAATACAAAAGTTTTGATAATAATTTTACATTGTAAAACACAAATATCTTAGCGAATCCAACTGTAAACTATAATGTATTTTAACATTTTTCGATCAGATTCTTGCAATAACTCGTAGCACTCAAACGGTTAACATGTGCTATACAGCGCATAAAGTTTTGGACAATCGATATTAGTTATACGTACATAGTTTTTTTCACTTATTATGTATTGATCAATTTTTTTCCATGCGATATCAAGTAAATAGATATTTTTGTCTGTCACAGACTTCGTGCGCTTAATAATTCTATCAACGTTAAGAAATATAGCGCTTATTCTTAATAAGAATATCAATTATCATATCAATATAAGACACCATAATACACAACAACATTTTCAATTTCAATTCAAAAATGTTTGTTCAAACGTTGTTCGTACTATGTGCTGAATGATTTATCTCAAATGACTAACCATTCATTCAAAACCTCCAAATACAGTAGAAACATAATTATCCGTCCTGATGCGATCCATTGGGAGAATATTTGAACATTCTGGTCCATTCGAAGATGTAGTAATGTTAACAAACCGTGTAAATAGTTACATACATATTGAACACTGTAATCTTTCCTTATCATTATTATATAAAAGAAATAGACTTCATAGATGTATTTCTTTTTTAACGTTTTATTCGTAGGAAAAACACTGACAATGACTCTGAATAGACCAGTTAGAAACTTTTCAACGGGTATACAAGTTTACCCATTCTATAGAAATTATTTTCAGTTGACTATAAATTGTGTAAATGTACATAGTATGTATCATTTTGTAAGGTTTAACGTATACTGTACGATTGGAGTGCATTGCTTAACAAGCGATAAAAATATGTAAAGACTGAGTTTCTTTTTTAATGTAATATACACACACATATATATATATATGCACTTATACTTATGATTCTAAATATAAGCAAATATATATATATGTATATACATATAGAATCGCGCTTGTTTTTCACTCTCTTAATTCGGTTAAAATCGGATTTGTAACCCTGGATCGTAGCACTATATCCACTCGAAAGTGCGATAAGTGAGTCAACAATATCTACTTATTTTGTTATTTAGTATTCTTGATCATAATGTTCCAGTTTAATGAAAAAATGGTTTTCTGTATAGGTGATACCTGTGTGAATGTTATTTTGAACCGGTCTTGTCTGCACTCTTTTGCCCACACATCGTCCTTTCCTTAATCTTCATAGGAAACATCGATGAACCATCGCGATTTGAGCACTTGAACATTCCTATAAGCTAATCAATCGCCAGTTTTATTTCCATTCGTCCGATCGAATGCTTTCCTGGCACTTTGAACGCGAAAACGATTTCGTATTCCGTACACTTTTCAAGGTAGGATACACATACACGCTTCATGAAAACAGTAATCGTATATTTTTTCTTGCACTGTTTATCACTGTAGTCGGTGGTTGGAAAATATTCAGATAAAACAATGAATCCGCGGTAAGAAAAACCAATTTACACAACGACGATGACGACAATGACAGCACGCAAATCGTCCCTGTTTTCCATCAATGAGAAAAGCATACAACCTTATGACATCGAGGAACAGGGTAAACGCGGCGATCCCATCTGCGTGAGTACTCTATCGAGCCACTGTAATGGACCATTTAAATGCAACTCGATCCAACAAGGAGTCGACGTCACGGTTTGCCGACGATATGCCGCTCCCCAACCTTTTACAAAACTCATTCTGATCGTACACATTCGAGTCAATTGATACACAGCTTCGAATCCTTGTGAAACCGATTGCGATAACAATGCCGCAAATTCTTGATTGTTGAATATCTTCAAATTGCAACCTGTAAGGAAAAAAGCATCTGTAAAATATGCTTCGATTTCTTTATTAAAGAACACATTTAACGTTGAATTATATCTTTACCAGGTGGTATTTTACAAACAGTGGCTGGATGCCAACCATAACGTTGATTACAATTAGGACTTTGCACAAAAATGCTCGAATCGGATAAACATTCGGCAAATACTTCACCACCAATATAATATAATCTAGCTCCTTTTCCGATATGTCGTCTCGTCTGTTCGACTACGGTATTTCGGTTTACGTTCGATAGTAAACCCAAACAGAAACGTTCAGAATTACTGGGATCAGTGAATCCATCCACCGTTATGCTCGGTTGCGATGCATGAAAAGTCTCGCCTACTCTCGTATTTAGTTCATAGTAACTTATTGAACACCTAAGGAAAAAGAGAAGAAAGATAAATACATATAAAGATATAAAAGAATTAATCAAGAATTAATCGTGCAATCAAATTGCAAAACAACGAATTTATTTGGCACAAGTAAATAATATTTTTAAATAATTTATAGAGGATCTCTCACCAAAATGCTGGTTCACAGTACATCACTGGTTGTGCATCTACAGGACTGGGAGACAAACGCGATAAGGACATATTATCGTTGTGATCCATGTTATCACCATCTTCACTTATATAACCTGGAGGAGGAGTATCAGCAGGTGGATCCATAGATCCAGGTGCCGGATGTGGTGAACCCTGAACACTTCCTAGACTACCAACACTAGCCGGACTTGTTGCCTGCATACTCTAAAGGAAAATAAAAATTTTCAATCCAATATTTTTCGGATGTTATTACTCGAAACACGAAGGAAACATATATTCGATACTAACCTGCATTCCTTGATATGGATTGTTCGGTGGCTGTTGTTGTTGTTGCTGTTGTTGCTGTTGCGGCGATTGTGGTATACTTTGTTGATTATGGTGCTGGTGATTTAAAGTCGCGTGGAAACTCGTGTTTTCTGGCACACTGACACTGAGCTCCTCGATGGAAGTGTTATAAAGGACGGACTCGTCCCCGGCTAAATTATGCCGAGGTACGAGAATAGCTGGCAAAACTGTAAAGTTTTACCAATAATAATCATATAATCTTCTATTTTAATTTTTGTAAAAACCGATTAATGATACTTCCATCATCGTAAATGATGATTTTAACGATGGCTTTTTAATAAAATAAAAAGCAATAATTGAATTGAAATCTTGAACCTGATGAATATATGCAAGTCAAGAATATATATACATTAAACTGATAAAAAAACAATAGTTAAACTAAAAATGTGTATTTTCAAATCACGGAATTAATACTTGTAAATATAGACAAAAAATCATATGCAAAATCATTTAAATAAACAATTTACATACCTGGTGTTTGTATTCGTTGATAGTGGTACGGGTTAATGCAGACTTCGTCTCGTTTCTGCGTAAACGCGTACTCGCAATGCTCGATTGCTCTTAGTTCGTGGTGCGATTGCAAATCTGGCCAACGCCAAAGTCGGCAATAGATCACGTGCGGCAAACCTTTGCCGCGCACTCCTTGGACACCGTTGTCTCCGACACCGCCTGGGCTAGGCCTTTCGTCCAAAAACAAAACATGAGGAAACGATCGATCAACAAATCAATCTTATCTTATCTTTCTCTAACATTAAAAAAACAGTCTTAATCGACGAATGGATTCGGCGAATTATCACACAACGCTCTCACGATCTGTTCCCCCTCTAATTAATAATTTTAACGTGATCGCATCAACAAGTAACCCAGAATTTTAAACAAAATTGAATCCTATATTGATCGCATAATTTGATTTGAAGAAACGAGAATTGCGAAACAATACTCTGCGTTTATTGACTGTACCGCAAAGAGGATAGGATTGCCGAAACATCAAAGTTCGGCGAGTTGGGCGGGAGTGCTAGGCGCGAAACCAAGTCGTAAAACTCTCTTTAATGTAAGTATAGTATGTATACGCTCCCAACCAACTTCCTTCTGCTTCCTTTGCTCTCTCTCCCTCTTCCTCATTCGCTTTAAACTCCTGCATTCGCGTCTGCCGCGCCGGAAGCGGTGGCGCCTACTGACAAAAAGAAACTACTATATATTAGGTATAACATTTTTCTTTTGACAAGAGTAACTAACGAATCGACTCGTTTGATCGAAAATTGTAACGCATCGTTTCTTTTTCAGATCTCCATTCCGTAACTTTCTTGAAATCAACTGACTCGAACGAGCTCGAGGGAGATTCACCGGAAACGGAGGAACTGATTGCTGTCAAATGAAGGAAACGCGAGGTGAATGATCAACGCGGAAGTGACAGTACAATTTTACCCTATTGGCAATTTTACAATTCTACGACTCGGACGTAAATTTTCGAGAAGTTTGCAATTAATCGCAAATAACACAAAGCATACAAACTTACTATATTATATATATATCGTTTCCGTGTCACGATTCTTGAATTTTTTTTTTCTTGCTTCATCTCGCCGATTCTCCATTTCTCCCCTTTTATCCAATCTCTCTCTCACTCGCTTTCTATCTATCTCTTCATTATATAGTCTACATATAGTGTGACCCTCAATTGAAATCGCTCAACACTACTTTTCGTTACATAATAATTCAGAAACGCTCGCACAGAATTTATATGGTTGTTTCCTGTGCGATCTCGATCTCAATTTCAGACCTGAATTCGCGCGTGGAATATTATCACTATGATCCACCATGCTTGTCGAATGAACTACAATATCATAGGAGAAAGTATAGTTTCAGAAGACATCGAACGGTAACATTCGAATAAAGTTTCATATTTCATCGCTGATGATCTCATCATCATTTCGATAACAAATAAACGGCGCTCGAACGAAACGTAATAAATGTCCGAAACGATTTTTAAAATGAAAATGATCATGAAACACGCAACTTCTATACTACAACTTTACGATTTTTTAACGTGATTTACGTTATTCGGAAAATACAAACTATTCGAGGTTCCACGAAGCAGATCACATAGACGAAAGTAGAAAAACGAAATCATCACTGGTGTCTTTTCAAAGATATTCGAGGAGTTTTGTATAAAATCGTGAGTATATACGATTGTTCTATCTCTTTTATCCAATTGTTACATAATAACAATGTACTGACAACAATATCATCGATTTTTTAGCAATATCAAGTACCTCCAATGTTTCGATGATCCATCTGTACAATGCCCGTGTGCCGTTTATCGACCATTTTGAAAGATGTCCCGTACGAGCTACCGCGCGTATCGCATCTAATCGAGAGTCCTGTCGATACATCGATTCAGCAATCTTTCGATCGATCGATAACAAAAACGACTAATGTAAGATTTCAGACTGGTCCTTCGATAATTCGCGAAAAAGGTAAGGAAAGCGATCGTTTTTAGAAAGTAGGATAAATGCGGTCACCACGGAAGAAAACAACAATGATGCGTAAATTAAACGGAAGAAGAGAGAGAGAAAAAAAACGCGAAATCATGGCTAGACGAAGTATTTCTATTCGAAAAAAGAGAACATAACGATCTACGATCTCATTTCTTCTGCAATTTCAGTCATCTTGCTGACGCACCGTTGCCTACTCGAGGACAGAGAATCGCGTCACCGTGAAATTCTTTCCACGTATGCATCAAACGAGAGGCGCGACTTAATCGGGTTTAATCGTCGATTGCACGGACAACCAGACGGAGTGCGCTCCCACGTTTTTTAAAAGGAAGAAAGGAAAGAAAACAGACGGTACGTGAGCTGTACTCACTTATTCGCACTGACTGCGATATATGTATAGCGATCCTTCTCATCTCTCTTCGATTTATATGCACATATTCATGTGAACATGGAAAAACATAGAGAGAAAGAGAGAGAGAAAGATCCTGTGTGATTGATCATTTTTCTATCTTATATCATTTTATCATTATTTTATTATTATATATCCAAATAAAAACAAAATTTGCGATAAATGGATAACTATTTCGTTTTCGAAAATGTGAAAGTACTTCGAAAGACTGAGTTTTGTTCACTGTGTAGGAACAAAGCAAACTTGTTAACGAAATATTCGATTGATAGACAAAATCCGACTTGTCGAATATTATCGAGTGTTAACGCGATGAAAAGTGTTTTATTGTGAAATATTTGATTATTGTATCAACATTGATAACAAATTTCTCTTATAAAATAATTAAATAAAACAAAAAAAAATGTTTTAATAATAAATCAGTTAATGAATTGTAATGAATTATATCTTGAACGAAATTATTTCAATTCCATTCTTCGATGCATAATGATTTATAATTTATAAAGATTATAAATATAATATATAATTTATAATTAGAATACTTATTAAAACAAAACACTTTTTACATACTGATTCATGCATCGAAATAATCAATATTTTTCTATAAAATTTTTCAATAAAATCATTTAATGCAAATCGTAATGATACATCTTTTGTCTCTTATCTTCAAACAATTATTTTTTTTTATTTTACAGTTGTACAAAAATAACAAGGTCATCAAAAAATGATCACATCTCGCAAGTTGTATGAATGCATTCAGAAAACATGATTCGACGAGAATTGACACGGTATTACGAACTTACGTAATTGCCCCTGCTACAAGTCATGCTTTTCTCTTGACGAAAAAAATGCGTTGTTGCGAAATCTGTGTCATTCATTTTCTACATAAATATCCCTTGTTGTATCGATTGTGTTACGTAAACATTGATTAACCTAGGTATCACGGAGAAATATTCTCGATAAAGTATACAATTCTGTAATCCAAATGGAACATTTTTATCAAACCACCGATCTAAACAAAATGGTACAATTCTGTTTCTTTTAAATTTAATGTTAATGTACGAAAGAATTAAGCTTTATGATAATAGCAAACAAATTTTTTTTCAAATAAATAAAAAACAAATAATAATGCACAAAAATTTCATTCAATAAAACATAATTTATTCTTTGAATTTTTTTTTTCGTTTTTACATTTGTAGTGAATGATTATTTAAAGATAAATAAATAATTCATATTAGAAATAACGCGAAAATTCGTATTCAGAGAAAAAAATAACATGGATGAAAAAATTTTATACTACAAATCTATTAATTAATCTATCAATTTATCTCTCATAAATATCTAGCTATTTTTACTGATAGAACAAAATTGGAAAAATAATTTCGTAGCATTACAACAACTCGGTCGATGTATATGCGTGACGAACAAGAATGTAATTTCCTCGAGTAGCAATCGTGAATTAGAAACGTATCCGCGTGTAAATCGTAGCACGAAATCAAACATTAGTTAATGATCAAGTATTTTCCAGATAGATGATTATTTAATCGAAAAACGACATTGTATAGAGTCAGATAACGGAATGAAATCGAATTTCCGGACGGTATCGCACGCGTACTATGCGATCTTGATCGATCGAAAAAACTGCAAGAGAGAGAGATTCCCTAACGCAACGTCGAGAAATGGAAAACGTAATGCAAAGTGAAACGAAACGAACCGCGAAGCAAACACATTTCGTTCAAGTTACAAAAGGATCTGCCTTTCTCGATGATAGACTTTCCCTCTCTTCCTCGAATATCCTTGAACGCGCGACAACATGGCTAGGATTACTATTAATAAAATCGTTACGAGCTGCGCGCCGAGCTACAATCGATTTCGATATGCGATTTATTCGCGCAGGCTGTATCGAACGCGTATCCTGATTAGATTATCGATATTTATCCTATCATCGAATATAATATAATAATAATAATATGAATTAATAAACAGTATATATAACTTATGCGAAAAAGAATTATTACATCACAAATATTATATTCTTATATTATCTCATATTATCAATTCTAATTATTATTAACACGTCATGTAATTATTCTCTAAGTCCTATCGCGATATCATTTTTATCAACATTTCTTAAAACATATAGAATTATAAATATCACGTATAATATATATAAGTGATATATCCATTTGTGAAAAATACTATTGATGATAGGTCATGTAAGTAAGTAAATATATATTGAGAATATACATGCTTCTAATACACTGATTATTAAACGAAAAATAAAATGATTGTAATCACAAAGAAAATACTCGTGTAAAAGGATAGATCCTATAGCAACGTGACTCACACGTGAGTTTCATTCACAGCACCCATTTCAATCGAAACAGATGTTGCATACGTTGATCACTGCTTATTTTAACCGGAAACGCAAAAAATAACAAAAAAAAAAAATTTCGTTTGTACCATTTTGCATATCGAAGATTGTTACGCATCGTTTGTCTACTCATTTGTTTGCGATCACATCTTCGTTAAGATTATTACATAACTACTAAGATAACGATGTACAATCGGCACGTACAACTATCATATTGTCTATTGCATTATACCTACAAAAAATAAACAAATAAATAACCATATGTCATAACATAAATAAAATATTGGATTTATTTTAATGTATATTAATTATTACAAAGTATTTCAGATAATGAATAGATCAATTATTTGAAGTCTAAAAGAAACTCAAAATTCTTAATTCAATTGAAAAATATTTTTAAACTATTATTTGAGACAAAAAAACATTAGCATTAATTCCCAAAAATATATGAAAATTATATACTAGCAGATAAGCATTTGCATGATTTTAGATCGATTAATGCTAATAATCTAATAAAAAAAAAAAATCAAGCTTAGAAAAATGATACATGTGAGAATTTCGGAAAGAAATATTATCAATTAATAATATAAGTCAAAATATAAAAATTTCTATATTATATTTACTTTGAAAAAATACATATTGAATTTATGCCGAATTATTATAAATCGATTATAAAATCATCTATAAATTTCAAAAATTTTAAAGTTTACTTCTTTTCAAAACTACATTGATTAATAATCACTCATCTCTATCGATCACAATTAAAATTATAATACTACAAATAAAACTCTTGTTATAATATAATTATGAAAAACTATATCATAATTAATAAAATATCGAATTTGATTTTAAATACATTAAGAAAATGAAAAATCAGTTTTCATTTACAGTTTTCAGCAGTAAAAAGAACTGTCAATGAATATGAAATGTGACATTATACATACAAATTCATGATACGTATATATGAACTGCAAAGCACACGCGATTTGCTTTCTATTTCTTCAAATTTTAATTTACATGATATAAATTAATGTAATGTTCAAAATCTTTACATTGACATTGTATGTATTATGAAATATACATGAAAATAAATAAATAATAATATAAAAAATATAAATTCCATCAATTGTAATATTTATGTACACACAAAAGAAGCATGTAAAATAAGCGTACCTCGGTATAGTAATGCACTTAGTGTTGCAACTTTGCGTAGTAATAGCCTTCTCGAGCTCGTCGAGGCCGGTGGATTTTTTTAACTTCTTTACAAGACTTTTAACAGCTTTTTCACTCCATTTGTCTTCTCCTTCTGCTTTTTTCCAACCCAACAATCGCTTAACGATAGGCGGGTTAAAGCTGGATAGCATCGAAGTCATGATTTAAGCTACGAGAATTACGCGCGACCTGCATCGGGCTGTTTCGACGTGTTACGACACGAACGAATTTTCACTCGCGATGTTAACTACGTAATCTAAATAGGCTTATTACGCTTAGCGTTTATCGTGAACTATTCAATCTTGAATGAATGCGAATTTCTCATACGGGCGGCGAAAACTTTGCCACAGCCGCCATATTGTTCTTTAAGTACATTCGATGAAAATCGGAAACCTTCGGCCAATTTCGATGAAACCATTGAATATGTATACAATAGAATGCAACAACTTTAACTTAATTTTATCAAATTTTACATATTTATTTAAAGAAATTCATAAATTATTCTTATTTACAAATATTTTTTTATAATATGTAAATATTTAATATAACTAAAAAAATTAGATTTAATAATTTAATAATTATAATAAAACTATAGAAATGTTCATAAAAACTATAATAATGTTCATAATATAGAAACCATTTTGTAATCATATTTGTATAATAAAAGTTGCATTCATTTTAAGACATATAGCAATTGGTTGTGCGTGTATATAATTTTATATACTTAACCTAACAAAATAAGTTCAAACTAAAGTAGCCAGTTATAATATATCACAAAAAGTTTTTTTATTTCTTAAGTTATTTTAACGTAAATGTATTTCTTGAATATGTTTATCAATTTTGATTTATTATTAAAAACAAGAAGATATTTTATAATTTAGCAGGACCTTGATGAAATTCGTGTATTATTATTTTAGAAAAAGAAGTATCTAGTAATTATTTTTAACAATTACAATTGTATTTTATAAATAAGTGCAATGAATCGTGAAGGTAAGTTATATTGTTTAAATTTTTTCAAATTCATTTAAAAAATGATTATTAAAAAATATAAAAAATAAATCTAAATTTAATTAAATAATAAAATTAAATTTTTTTTTAATGTGCATAAGAAGAAATATATTTTATGTATTTTTAAAATCTTAATAAAATATAATGATCATTTTTTTTATTAAAGAGAGAAGTGAATCAGAAGAAGAACATGAGAAATCTAGAAGCTCATCAGTGGATTCTCAAAGATCTATTAAAAGTAGATCAAAGTCAAATTCTATCAGTCCTTCTCCAAGGTTTAAATAATTATATTTTTTTTAAATAATTATAAAATTCTATTTTTAATAGATAATTAAAAATTTTCTTTCAGATCTAATCATTCATCACCTGTACAAGCAAGGTCACCAGCTTCTGTGCTATCTAATGCCAATTCTCGAAAATCATATTCTAGATCACCTTCCCGTTCACCTTCAAGAAATCGATCAATATCACCTTCTTCTATCAAAAATCAAAGATCATCAAGATCTAGTTCAAAATCTGATGGTAGAAAAAGTAGTTCAAGATCACCTTCTAGATCTCCATCACCAGAAATAGATGGAAAAATTATTCAAAATGAATCACAATCACCTGGTGGTTCACCATGTTCAAGAAGATCACGATCAAGAAGTTCTTCAGAATCTAGAAAAAGTTTTAATTTAGCATCTCGAGAAAATTCACGATCTAGATCCAGATCTACTTCAACTAAACGAAGTAATCCTCCATCTAAATGTTCTTCCCCAAAAGTGAATTCTCGTTCCTGTTCTAGATCTCCTTCATCATTTAAACCACACTCCCGATCAAATTCTCACTCTCCTTCTGTATCACCAAAAATAACTGTTAGGTCTCGTTCGCGATCAAAATCTCCAGAAATTCTATCTCGATCGCCATCGAATAGTCCAAGTCGAAAATCACATAGTAGGTCCAGATCTCCTTTAGATGAAAAAAAAATATCACTTTCTTCATCATTGGAAGAAAAACATTCACCATCACCTATTAGAAATTCTCGATCGCATTCGAGATCAAAATCTCAATCAATAGATAGATCAAGAAGAAATTCTCCTAATTTAGACAATAATATACATTTGAAATCTCTTTCGAGATCTCCTGATGGTAAACATAAATCTCGATCTCGATCTCGATCTCGATCTCGTTCTCGATCTCGTTCTCGTTCTCGTTCTCGATCTCGTTCTCGATCAAAATCAGTTTCTGGATCAAGAAAACAATCACCTAATATATCCCAAAAAGGATCCTTATCTAGATCACCTTCAGCGGAGCATAAAATAATACATTTAAGCACACCATCAAAATCGAGACATACATCAAAATCTAAATCACGTTCAAGATCTGGTTCAAGAAAATCAAGATCTGGTTCAAGAAAATCAAGATCTGTATCTGGATCACGTAAAGGATCACATTCTCCTAATTCCAGGAAAAGTTCTCGTTCGCGATCAAGATCTAGTTCTAGATCATCTAAATCCCGATCTCAATCTCGTTCCAGTTCAAAAATATCTCGCTCTAGATCACGTTCCGGATCGCGATCAAAATCAAGATCGCTTTCAGGTTCGCCATCTAGATCACATTCAAGGTCACGTTCACCTTCGCGTTCACGATCAAGATCAATTTCAGTTGCTGGATCTAGACGTTCATCACGATCCAAATCAAGATCGAGATCTCGTTCAGCATCAAAATCCAAAAGATCAAGAAGTCGTAGTGAAGATTCTGAAGATGCTATTAGAAAAAGAAAAAGAGTCCTATCCGATTCTGAAGAAGAAGATGGCGTTAAAGCAACAAAAAAAACAAAACATGAAATAACAGATTCAGAAAATGAAGTAGATGATGTAACAAAAGTGAAAAAAGCTGAAGATGAACAAGAGGAAGAAGGTGAAGAAACAGAAAACAAACAATTTCAAGATGTTATAGCTAATGAACAACAAGAAAATGAAGATTCCGATGATGGAGTAATGGTAGATGGTGGAATGTAAGTAATTCAGCGTAAAATATAATATATTTGAATTATACATACAATTTAATACATGTAATATTTAATATATGCTTATCAGGAGTAGCAGATATTTGTGAGTAACATATAATAATAGATTAAAAATTATAATAAAATATTATTAATGTTAATTTAAAAAAAACATTTAAATTAAAAAATTTTATAAGATATAATTAAACTAACAATAAATGTATTGATTTTTTTTTAGAGATGATTCATTATCAGATTTTGATCGCATGATGGCTCGTAAAAAAGAAGAACAATCACGACGTCGCAAAAGAAAAGATATTGATATAATTAATGATAATGATGACATCATAGCTCAATTGTTATCTGATATGAAATCTGCATCAGAAGAAGATAGAAAATTAAACCAACAAAATAAACCAGCTACTAATAAAATAGCAATGTTACCAAAAGTATTATCACAACTTAAAAAACATGATCTTCAATTGGCTTTTTTGGAACACAATGTCTTATCTGTTTTAACTGATTGGTTGGCACCTATGCCTGATCGTTCTTTACCATCTTTGAAAATTCGAGATAGTCTCTTGAAACTTTTGTGGGAAGTAAGTGTATTTTTTTATTATATAGAAATATAAAATTATATAATATTTACATATAAAATGTAAATGTGTTTAATATATTTCAGTTTCCACGAATTGATCAAGCTTCTTTAAAACAATCTGGTATTGGTAAAGCTGTAATGTATCTTTATAAGCATCCTAAAGAAACTAAAGAAAATAAAGAACGTGCAGGAAAATTAATTAATGAATGGGCACGTCCAATATTTAATTTATCTGCAGACTTTAAAGCCTTATCAAAAGAAGAAAGAATGCAAAGAGATTTAGAACAAACACCTCAGAAACGAAGAAAAACTGATGATGGTAGTTCTTCTCAAAAATCACAAGATATTAATAAAGCTTTGAAAGGAGATGCTAAGTATGAATTCTTTATACTTCTAATGTTAAAAATTTCATTTGAATAATTCACTCAAATAATCAATTAATCTCTTGATTATTTAGACCATTGAGACCTGGAGATCCTGGTTGGGTTGGAAGAGCTAGAGTTCCTAGACCTTCTAATAAAGATTATGTTATAAGACCAGATTGGAAATCTGATGTTGATATTAGTAGGGTAATTATACATATTTTATTTTACATATTTCATTATTACTAACATAATTTAATATTTTTAACATTGATATAATATTACAGAGTACTAAAAAACAAATGAATAGATTTGAGAGACACATGAAAAATTATATAGATAGTAAACGAATAAAAGCAACTAGAAGAGCTGTGGATATATCTATTGAAGGCCGTAAAATGTCATTATGACTTAAAAATCTTTTAATTATTATAAGAAAGGTGATATATCCTGTGCAATTATGCACAGATATCAATAATTCTAATAAATTGTAACTTAAGATTATAATCACATACACAATTGTGCTTAATAAAAATGTTCGATACATGTTCACTTTATTTTTGTTAAACACAACTTAAATATTAGCGCAATTTGTAATCTAAATTATTATATTAATATTTGAGTATTTAAAATTTAGATTATAAAGAATAATTTATAATATATTTTATCTAAATGTTAATTACTTACAAGTTAAGTAATATATATTTATAAGTCAAAATTTATTACAAATATTATTCAAAAATGATGAAAATAGAAAACTGATAAAAAAATTTTAAAAATCTAAATTTTAGAATCCAAAATTTACTTAAGATTTTTTAAATTAATTTAAAAAATAATATGAGTCTAATATAATTTTAAAAAATTTTAGTTTGTAATAAAATTAATAATAAAACATTTTATTTTTTATAGATAAAATTGATGATTCATTGAATCTTATTTTATTGCATCACATATTGGTGGAAAATCTGCGCAATATCAAGTTGATTTTAAAATCTACAGAAGTTGCATTTCATATTTTGCTAAGAATAATCTTGTTAATATTTTCCAGATAGTTGTTTTTTTATCAAAGTTATACTTACGATGTATAATAATTGAATCAAATAAAATCTATTAAAATTTTTAATAATAGTTTATATTAGGAAAACAACAAAAATCAATGATATCTCGAGCGCATAAATTATACAGAGTAAATAGAAGTGGAAAAAAAACAGGGATATAAAAATGTTGAAATCGCCGCCATTTTCAAAATATTATAAATTATAAATATATAGAGAAAGAATAACAAAGAATAGAAAAAAGGATAGAAATAAAATAAGAATAAATCATCAGCATCATCTTTTGAGTGCTAAAGACATGGCTTTTAGAAAGATGTTATTAATATTCAAGAGATGGCACCAATTCTCAATTTTTATTTTATCTTGCTTTTAAAGAAATGTCTATTTTTTTTCGTTATTTATCTTGTTTATATATATCTTTGTTTATATTTTATTATTTATTTATTTACATTTATTTATTTTTATTCTAAAAACGGCATTAATTTTACAATTTTTATTTTATTTCTTTCTTTTATCATCTACTACTTTCTTGTCTGACATTATGAAAAATTTTTTTCAGGATCGGTTCAAAACATGGGATATAAAATTCTATAAAATGTCATGTCTATTCTTGTCCGATTATAATTTTATTTTATATTGAATCGATAACATTATACATGACATGAAAATGATAAGGCCATATGATCCTCGAATTCTCGAGACAAAAAAAACATTGTATGAGTAATCTAGTCCATATTTTATCTATGCTATAATATCATTCCGGTGTCGATGTCAAAATTGAGTTCCTACATTTGTATATTCGAAAGTATTTTTATAAATATTTTTATTTCAATTCAAGTTCTATATTTATGTTAAAAAAAAATAATATTTTAAATTATGTTGATTTTTAGTAACGAAATTTAGTAATCAAAAAAGACAATCTTAAGAAATATAATGTAATGGTTTGAATAAAATAGCTAAGTGAAACGAAGGTTAGAATGAGAAGTATTGTTAACATTTTGAAAATCTTTGTCGCTTTTTTTTATGATTATGCACGAGGATTATCATACACTATTATTACGATTTTGGTTTTGGGTTATTGTTTACACCCGGCTCGATTTGCTTCACATTATACTTTCATAAAAACAGAAGATATTTACGATGAAATGGAAAAATCTTATCCAGCAAGGGATAATTCATGCACAATCACGATCAATCATCAAAAATCTCAACTGCTTTATCCCGAAGAACATCCTCGAGAAGACCCTATAGCAATGGCGCGACGATTAGGTATATTACCTGGAGGACAATGGAAACCATTAAATTGTCATCCTCTTTTCAATGTGGCTATTATTTTACCATATAGAAATCGTCAAACACAACTTACTATTTTTATGAATTATATTCATCCTTTTCTACAAGCCCAAAATCTTGATTATAGAATATTTGTGATAGAACAAAGTCCAATGCGTGAATTTAATCGTGCTAAACTTTTCAATGTTGGATATGCAGAAGCAACTAAAGTAAATGACTTTCACTGTTTCATCTTTCAAGATATAGATCTCATACCTCAGAATCCTGACAACATTTATGCTTGCACTAAGATGCCCAGACATATGAGTTCAAGTGTAAATACATTTCGTTACAATTTACCATATAGTGGTTTATTTGGAGGTGCAATAGCATTAACTCGAAAACAATTTGAAAGAGTTAATGGATTTTCAAATGTTTTTTATGGATGGGGTGGAGAAGATGATGATTTTTATAGCCGCTTACAATCAAAAGGTTTTCAAGTACGTTAATAATCAATATCATTAATCATAATATCATAATCATAATATCATAAAAGTTTTAAATTGTTTCTATTCAAATTAAATTTTAGGTTACACGTTTTGGACCTGATATTGCTCAGTATTATATGTTAGTACACAAGAAAGAATCTCCAAGTAGTGCTAGGTTTGAAAATCTTGAAAATAGTGCTAAAAGATATGATACTGATGGAATTAGTAATTTAGAATACAGAGTTCTGAATCATCAATTAAGGCCATTGTATTCTTGGATTTTAGCAGATGTTTAGTTTTGGTTTGTATTTTCTTTTCTATTGTTACATCATTATTAGCTATTTTTTATTATTAGTAATAAAATAAATATAAAATTATATATTTATTTTATTAATTATATTTTTATTATTTTTATTTTATTAAAATAATAGAAATTATTTCCATGTTATTTAAAAATTAAAAAAATTTTGTAATAATTTAGTTGATAATTTCAGATCATTATTTTAAAATCATTAACTTTTTTTGAAATAACATATGATTTTTATGTTAATACATAATATTTTATTTATAACTTTGCAATTTAAAAAATATAAATTCTTCAATATTTCATTGTAATATAAATCAAACCAAAGATATTATAATAATATATTAGGAAATAAATACAAGTATATAATTAAGTAGACAAACCTTTAATCAAGGTAATAGTTAATTAATCATTAATATTGTAATATGATATTAAAATTTAGATAGATTTAGATACAAAATTTTTATCATAATTTTTCAAATATTATATAATATATTCTTTGAATATATTATATAGATATGTAATATTTTATGAAAATAATTTTTTTGGAAGCAAATTTAGATTTAATAGTACGAAAATTCTATATAAATAAATTAAAATTTGTTCCTCTAATAATTTTAAAAAATCAAAGTAATAGTGATATAATAATAGTGATATTTCTAATATGGATTATATATTATTTCTAATATACTAATATTAACTTAAATTTTTAATACTCAATATTACTTTTTAGTATTATATTTATATCAACAGAAAAAAACTAGTATTATTATAATGCCATCAATGAATGAAAATTTAAGATACATTAAGTTTTTAATTTGAATAAATTTATAATCATAAATATGAAATATAATAATAGATATATTTTAAGTAATTTTGGAGTTTATAAATATTACTTATTAAACTAATTTTTGAATAAATAATGTGATAAATTTATGTATGTATATATATATATATGTAAAGAAGAATAAGATTTAGAACTTATGTCTAGTATGATTAAATTAAAAATTTTACAATGTTGAAAATATTTTACTTGTACAATTGCCTAATGGATATTAGAATATGTTTCAAAAAAGAAATGTAAAAATAAGGTTGTAACTTTTGTTTCGAAAATAATATATAATTTTTTTTCAAAGTATTTAAAGTTATATATTTGTTATATTTTAATGAATAATTTTTTGATTTCGTATAATATAATATAAGTATAATTAATTGAAAATTAAAAAATACGTTATTTTTTTATAAATTTAATATTTAAATTTTAATTATTAAAACAAAATGTTTTTGATTATTTAAAGATAAATAGGAGTGTATTTTAAGCAATAACGCCTTATTTTTATTATCTTTCAATTTGTTATTTATTACATGGGTTTAGCATGTGTAATTTAAAAAAATAACGATAAAATGTATGACTGTAGAAATGTGTATGTATAGTGAAGATTGTGATCTCCAAAAATACGGAATAAATCATAATAAAAAGAAATATGAAATATATATGTAAGAGTATAAATATAACTATCTTCTTATATATATATACATATATATGTAAGCATGTAAAATTGACATAATTACATCATAAATCATGAAATTTAATGTAAATCAGTATAATTAATAAATATACGATAGTGGTGATATTCACTAGTGGTGAATTTAATTGTACTGAATCATAAGTATGCGAATTAATTTTTATTTAATAAGCATTACGAAATTTAAATGGAATGATATAAATTAATTCTCGTTAAATATTTCATAATGCTTCAGTATAAAGTACGAAAAGTACTATATTGTGCACAAATAGTTGGACAAAAATCGCTGAGTGAGAGAATTATTATTTAGTTACTGGTACTTGTGATACATTCTTAGGTATATATTTTCTAAGTATATATAATTTTTGTTAAATAAAGAAACATATATTATTGCATATTATATCGTAAACTTCAAAAGTCATATGAATAAAGTGTCAAAATGTTGTATTTTTTCTGCCAGCTCATAAGATAACATATTAAGGTTCAATGCAAAAAATATATCTAATAACATAATTATTCTCTGTTGTCTTCAAAAATCCTAAAATGATAAAATATAATACCAAATTGTAAAAGAAAAAAAAGCTAATAAAAAAATTCTATGTATTCCTAAGAATGGATTATCACGCTTTAATTACCAGATACAACCAGCATATTCGGATAATGCATATATATACCTATTTATCTATGAAAAATTGAGTACAAGTATTATTTATATATAAAATCTATTTTCAATGATCTCAAGATATTATGTATCAGATAGTTCTTGATAACGCGCATACATCATTTTCTTTACGCAATCTTTATATGTATCTCCCGGTAATGCACTATATGAAGATGATTTCGCTCCTAAACCAGCTGTAGGAACCCTTCTTTCCGCTTCGATAATACTTGTCCTACCTTGATTTGACTTGCCAAGTCCCATACCTTCACTCCAACCCATTTTTTGTAAAAGCTTATTACCAACATTATCTGAACCAATACCAGCTCTTGTTGGTTCTTCGTACGATACTGGTATTTCTTCAACTCTAGTTTTTAAATATTTTTCTTTAAGTTTATTTGGTTGCGGAGGTTCTGGTTCACCATACTTCGCTCTCCTTTCCTTAGCTCGATCGCGATATTTATTGTTTCTTTGCTGTGGATCGTTTGGATCCAAACCGCGTACTTGATACCAATTCTCCAAATTTTGTTTGTGAAGATCAGATAATTGTTGATGACGAAGCAATGCTTCTTTACTTGGAAATTGTCGTTTACATAATAAACATGCTAATTTACTCCAATCTGTATGTTGTCTTTCTTCTTGTTGCACATCTTCTATTTCCTCTTCCGTATCGCTACCGCCACCATAAGCAGCAACCAAACCATTATTTCCACTCTGATCTTCATCTTCATGATAAGAATTTGCAAGAGATTTTTTCTCTAATATCGCATATCCTGCATCCGCAGCTCCACTTCCAACACCTTGATTGCCATCACCACCAGCAAATTCGGAATTCCAATTACTTTTTGCATTCTCTTTCTTTTGATTTAAAGTCTTTGCCCAACGTTCCATATCCTTTGCTATTTTCTTTGCCACTTTAACTTTATCCTGTTTGCTGTCTTTCTTTTTATTTTCATCTTCTTTTGAAATTTCTTGAGTCGCAGTAGTAACTGACGAAGTTGTTGCTTGATTCGTAATCGTGTTTGTTGAATCAGTATTACTAGCTGTCGCAGTTATTGTAGTTCCACTAGATGTAGTTCCAGTTGCTTGAGCTACAGTTGTAGCAGTCTGCACAATGCAAAACAACAAAACAATAAAAAATAATTCAAGATTTAAAAACTTTAATAATAATTATATGTAATAATAAATATAGCTTTTAATTAATTAAATACCTTTGCTGGTTGATATGAAAATGATTCAGCATCCCAATATAAGAATTGTTGCGTATGACTATTATAATAATATTGTGAATTAGGATCATAATATAATCCTGTACTTGGATCGTAATAATAACCTGATGATTCATCATAATGATAAGTGCTAACATCTGGTACAGCTGTAAAAAATATGAATATTACAAAAATTCATATTATAATTAATTTATTTGAAATTGCGTCATTAAATCGAAACTAACAATATATTTTACCATCGCTACCATGTGCGGGTACTCTTCCAGTTGCTAAAGCAGTACTAGTAGGTGCTGTAGGTGTTGGTCTGTTTTTCATTTCTTCAGAATCTCCTAATTTTCTGGAGGCTTGTAATTGTTGTATGGCAGATTGTGCTACAGCTGCAGCTGCATTCACTCGATCAGTCTGATTTAAAGATGGCAAAGTAATAGCAGATCCTTGCATTATTTGATTTTGATAATATTGTGTATAATACTGAAGATAGTGAGCTTTCTGTGCAGGTGTTTTAGCATATAAATTAGCACTATATTCTGCTAATTGAGCAACATCGTCTAAAGTATATCTTTGTGGTTGATTATCATTTCCTTTCCATGTATTGGTATTATTTATTTGATGAAGTTTACAATAAGTAATTTCCACTTTTCTGCCATCTACTACCAATCCTTGTTTTGTAAGAGCTGTGTGTAAATACATAGCATCAACAACATTGCCCATTTCTAAATAACAAACACCTCTTGATGTATTTGTAAGTGAATCACGTCCAATACGGATGCTACGTATCGGCATTGATGAAAGATTTTTCATTGCCTGTAAGACTGAATCTTCGGTCGTCAATACATCCAATCCACGAAGAAGAACTGTATTCGTAGGATGAGGACTAATTTCATCACTACCCTCCCCACCTTCTTCACTCTCTGCTCGAGAGGCAGAACACTTGAAACATGTTTCACGCCTCTTGAAATTATGTGCACCACACTATAACAAAAATATAGCATTGCAAAATTTACATTATATTAGATAAGTAATGAATTATATAAATAAATTCACCTTAACACAATGCCAATCTTGTGTATTTTTTGCAGGTGGTTTATCTACATGGCAATCTTTTGGTATACTGTACTGCATCAAAGCACGATATTGGTCTTGCAGCATCAGTACTCCCTGAAACAGAGAATTTCAGTGTTATCCCGTCCAATATCCTCCCAAAGCAGTTGTTTATCCCGTAAACTTTCTTCTTGGTTGACGAAATTATAGTTTTTTTTTTTTTTTTNTTTTTTTTTTTTTTTTTTTTCTACTTCATAGCTTTCCGTCTCGAATGAACAGTAAAGAAAATGTTTTGGTCTTAACGTGGGCCATTCCACACGACTTGCAAACCTATATATGCGAATTATATATGTGTATATATATAAATACATACATATATACATATATATATATATATATATATATGTACATGCGCGAAAATTTTTTTTCGATCAAAAAATCGAAATTATGAAAACAAGCAAACATATAATAATTTGTTTGCATATTAAATTGTGAACAAAAAAAATCGTGCATCAAAATTTTCATTCTTTTAAAATGCTTAATCAATGAATAACTGCATTAAAAGAATAAAGTAAAATAGTAAAAGCAGATTTAAATATAATAAAAAAGAAGTATTTTATATAATATTATGAACGTAATAAAATATAATTTTTAAAATAAATCATGCCGAATAGAATATATACATTGTATATATAAGATAAGACGATTGGAATGACCCTCCTCCAATCTTCATTGTTAGTCCACAAACTTTTATGATAGATAGAGGATAGGTAAAAAGCTCGCGGCGCGGCCTTTCAATATAATGTAATTTTATAATCCAATAGACGGAATTGCGAGCGAGTTATAAGAAAAATCTGCAAAGTATATGGGGACTCCTAGATAAATAATTAGGTACGGTAGATTGAAGTAGCCTTTTTTGATAGGTGCACAGCCATGGCCATGGGGAAGGCCAAAGGGCTGCGTTACCGTGCCTTGCCGCCACGGGGCGTCGGTGGCACGCGTACAACGCATCGGTTGGGTATCTGGACTGAACTTCTTTCTACCTGTTTCATCTCCATCCACCGTGCGGCCTCCTGAGTCGCGTTAAACTCGACGAATGCAAAACCTCGCGAAGCACCTATACAGAGCAAATACACACATATCCAAAGTTAATCCACGTTTTGCCTGGGAGTCTCTACTCTGAGAGGGCAGGCAATCACAGCACCAACCATTGACAGACTGAGTTTCGAACGAAGTATTTTCTTCGCTTCGTCGCTTGCTTTCATTTCCATTTGCCTAAAGCTCAGCAGAATGAATTCTACACGGGTGACAGACGATTTCTTATCTTTACGCGAACTTTAGTTTACTTTAATGATAAACCTACTAAAATCTCTTAGTCTCCTTTTTTTTCGCAATCGTGAATCAAAGACATAATAAGAATTGTATAGAAAATACTTTTCTTCCCAATAATTTCTATATTATACAATCGTTAATAATATAAGAAATAAATTTGATATTTTATACAAAAAATATAGTTATATTTTGTTAAAAAGGGTCACATATTCTATTGTATCTATTTTATACAATAGAATATAAAAATCTTAATGATTTTCATTATATTTTAAAATTAGAAATTTATATAGAATTGGTTGGTAATCTCATTTTCCAATTATTTTAAATATAAAATTTTAATAATTTTCAGAAATATTTTACATCACCCTTGTAAGATGAGCAATGATGATTTGATTTCCCTCAAAATATTCTTCCTATGTAACAAATTCTGTTCTTGGTATAAACTTACCTGATTTTAAGATCAACAAATTAATTAATGAATGATATTCAATTGACAGCTATTATATTGATTATTTTGTAATAATTTTGGGGTATGCATGATTGGTACCGATATAATACTAATATCAATGTTTGAATACTATTAAAAAAAATTGTTTGAAATTTTTTTGATCAAAAAGAACATTCTACTATTAACAATTTCAAACAATTTTTTAAAATGATCATAAAAATATAACTATAAGCTTATAACTTATGCTACACAGATCTAATGTAATTTGCTTAGATAAAAAGCAATTTACTAATTTGCATATTAATTTTAGGGGAAATTGATTTATAAAAATGAAGATAATTACCTGTATCCTTTTTACGAATTAGCCTGATGTCCTTGGGCATGAGACCACAGTTGAGGATGTCTTGCCGCACCTGTGATACACACATCATAATAATAATAGTGATGTATGCTTGCAAATGCTGGCTCACGAGTGGCCAATTATGTTGGGCCGCTAAGTTGACAACCTACGTCATTTTCTGTAATGTGCTGAGCAAGCCCACGAATCATTATGGTGTTGTTTGGAGATTGAGATTTGTAGTGGATGCCTTCCATGGACGAACCATAAGTACGTCCATGGTCGTGCTCAAAATCCATACTTTCACGGCTATGATCATCATCGCGATCCCGATCTCTTTCCTCGCGTTTCCCTCTACGATCTCGATCTCTTTCTCTATCTCTATCTCTTCTAGAGCGATCTCTATCTCTATCGCGATCGCGATCCCGATCTCTCTCTCTTTCTACAGAATCTCTGTCTCTTTGCCTTCCGTAACGATCTTCTCTGTCTCTATAGTTACGATCTCTATCATCTCTGCTACGATCCCTTCTATCCCTTGAACGATCTCTTTCGCGGTCTCTATCTCGACCTCTGTGATTTCTATATTCTGGACTACGATGATCTCTATCTCTATGATCATTGTCACGATGTTCTCCATACTCTGGTGATCTACTGCTTCCATAATCATTACGATAATCATAATCTGAATTATGCCCTCTTCTTTCAGGACCATAACCTGGTTCCCAGGGGTCAATATTATTACTGTACATGTTGTCCATGTACTTAATTAATTTTCTGAAACAAATAAAATTTTAGTTACAGTTATATATTAAAAAATAAAATATATATAAATATATATATAAAAATAAAAATATAAATTTAATTAATTTACAAATTACTTTGAAATTCAGAAAATTAGCAATAATAAATAGTAATAATTAATGTAATTCACTAAGTTAAAGATAGCAACATATAATATTATATTAAATTAGAAGATCAAAAAAATATTAAATTAATATCTATTACTTTATACGTATATATATATATATTTTATATGTATATATATAATTTATAATTTTATAATACAAAACAAAGTATTTTAAATGAAAATAAATTAATTTTATTCAAATTAGATATGCGCTCGCGAGCGCGCTTGTATGCGCTGAATGTATATATGTATATATGTATGTATATGCATATACATATGCATATATATATATGCATATATATATATATATATATATATATTTAATACATATTTAACAAAATCAAATTATTCGTAAAAATTAAATTTTAAAAAAATATATACTACTTTTTAGGAATAGGTTTAAAAAATAGCTAAGTTTATTTCCAATAAAAAATAATGTATTGTGCGCGATCATTTTAAATTAACATGACAGATTTCATTTAAAATATTAAAAGCATTTTTACGATCAAAAAACGTAATGACAGAGATATGAATTTTATTATTATTTCTAGCAAGACAAAAAATGCATAATAAAATTCTATTAAAAAATAAAATAAAAAATAATAAAGCAAAAATATCGAACTTTGATTTACAAAGACGAACGAAATATCATGAGATTGATGTCACAAATCTTTTGAAATATATTTAATTTTTAATCAAATGAGTTTTATGCTCTAGCAAAATACATAAATTTTTTTTTCACTTACTTTACTTCTTATTTACGCAAATAGTCGAAAATTAATATGATGTGCACAATGGCGTGGTTACACCTTCTGTTCCTCTTGAACAATATGGCGTCATATGTGAAAGACGAACCCATTACGTGTTCAAGAAATATTTTCTATCTAGAAATATTTTCCAGATGGCGCTTTAATTTATTCAATGACGTTTTATTTTATTAAAAGGAGAAATTTTATTTTAGAATTTTATTAAAATCAGTTCAATATTTATAGGAATCAAATAATTTTAATTTTGTAAATTAAATATTCATATATCATATATTATTTTAAATATTATATTTAATAAGATTATAATTATACTTTATACATGTGAAGTAGTTCAAATTCAGTTTTTAAGCAGTTTTCATGAAAATATCGCAAATAAATAATATGATATATAAATATAAAATAATTTTTACAAATAAACATACATTATATTATTAAATTATATAAATTTAAAAAACTTAAAACTTATATATTTAGAAAGATAATTTTATCGCATAAATACATATAGTTAAAAATAAATTTAAATTTTCTAAAAAAGGAAACTTTAGTAAGAAGAACGCAAGATGGCGTCAGTAGACTATGTCGATTTCCCGCGTTAAGATGTTGAAATTGAACAACTAGAGTGTATAATAAAGTCGTTGTGTATGATTGAATAAATCCAAACTTTCAATTAATTTTCAAGTTTATTCGATTTACGTTAAATATTCTGTTGACAAAATAGTAATTTTTTGTTGTGATCATTTATAAAAAATTTGAACATTTATTCAGTTAACTGCTGTAACATGATATATTCATAAAAATTAGTTTTTTATACATTTCGAAATGTGCTTATTTTTTATAAGAGTCTTGTTATAATATATTTATGTTAATTCAATGAATATTATTTAATGAGATTAAAGAAGTTAATATTCAGATAAAAAATATTGTCAATAATGTGTTATTGCGTTCAATTACAATCATTTTTTAAAATTGTTGATAGTTATTTTCGTCGAATAGATATAAAAACGTGTACATGAAATATTTTTCTAATTTAAATATAAATTTTAATTACAAAAGTGTATAATCGTTATTCAATCTATGGTGTAAATAATTTTGTAAAATATAACCTCAAATCGCGCATTAAAAAATTTAACGGTCAATGTATCGGTGCATTGTATTAAAATCTATCACTAAGAGATACAATCAAACAAGTAGTAAAACGTTCAAAGGTTCAAATCGCCAATCAAATGAAGTTAATAGTTTCTTCTTCAAGAAAATGTATAACGTAGCTGTATTCGGTGAGTATATATAGAAAAATTTCATATTAATATAATATATACATATATATTTTACTCATTGATATTGAAATTTAAACAAATTATTTTTATTCATAAAAATTAAAAATTGATTTTTGTGTCTAAAATGTAGAAATAATGTTTTGAATGAAAATTTATTAATAATAATAATAATAATTATTTCAAAATTAAAGAAATTTATAACAATAAGCCAATCAATTTTTATGAATGCAACTAGTTTCGATCTCTTTCTTTTATTGATTATACGAAATATATATATATTAGATAGGTTATCCAAATTAAATTTTTTATATTTATGATATATTTCTAAAATTTCTGTTATTTATGCAAGATATTCAATTGAAATTTTTTTATAATAATATAGCTTCTCTTTCAAATGATAGAATTCTTTGCTATATGTAAGATAAAAGAAATATTTGTAAAAGGGTTAAGTTTGAATAATCAGGGTCGGTTTCTGTCCACATTGTACCTATGTAGATCGCGCGATTTCGTGAAAATTCGGCTTTACTCGGTATTGTAGGTGGTTGCTATTGCATGATGTCTGATTTCATATATAAGACTAAATTTAGTAATATACTTATTGTAATTATGTTCTATTATTTCTGAATATTGCAAATTATAGATATCTCATAAATATTTATAGAAATATAAACAAAATATATCGTATAATACAGAGATTTATTAAGATTTTTAAATTATAACTTAATAAAATTTTGATCAATTTATAATAATTAAATTCCATTTTTTTCAAATTTATTCAATTTTTTTTCAATTTTATATTTTTATATTTTATATTTGAAAGTTTGACTTTCAAATACTTTTCAATTACATAATTCGTGAAAAAAAATGATATCGTATCTAATAATACGATTTATGAAAAACACAATAGTTAATAAAAAATCAAGAAGCAAGATTTTTTGCAAAGAGTTTCTCTAATTCCAACATGATCCAGAATTATTTCATTATTAGTTCACAAGCATAATAGTAGCTCCCCGTCGCAATCCGCTTGTGTTTATTCGGTTTTATAGAGGTCGCTAGTTATACCTGGGGAGACATACATGTTCAAGATCGTGAAAGAGCACGAAGATAGAGAATACGAAGAATATTTGAATGTACGCTTGATCGAAAGACTATGAGAGATAAATGGGACAGAAATGAACGAAAGAACGAGAAAATGAGTGAGACAAGTTCGAAGATATTGAAAGAGAAAAAAAAGAGAAAGTAAAAGAAAAAAAAAATGCTAGGAATGAAATTGAAAAAATAATGAAAAAAGAAATATTAAAAGGAAAAATAAAAAATGATGAATTGTGGAAAAGAAAAAAGACAGGAATAGAGTGAGAGTATATTGGGAATGAGATTGGAGAAACAGAGGGAAAAGAGGGGAAAATAATGGAGAGAGAAAGAAAGGAAATTGAGGAAGAGATAGGAAAATGCAAATTACGAGCTGGGGGGTGCGAAGCAAACTGAAACGAGGGATAGAACGAGGATACAAAAAAAGGGATAGAGAAAGAGACAAACAGGCTTCCCTGCGCAACCAGTACGACGCAGACAGCTCGTCTATATACTTGGTTCAACGACCACCGCCCTAGTATCATCCAACCCCGAAGTACCGGACGGCTCGGTGGTCGCACTGGATACTAGATTAGGGGAGTGGAGGAGGTTGAAACGAAGGTAGGGGGTTCTGGGGGGTTGGAGTGGGGAAGTTTAGGGAATGGGTTAGCTGGGGAGGTTGTAGAGGGAGAAGAGTGGAAGTGGTGTTGAGCGGAACGGCCCACGGGCCAGTTCCGTCTCGAGCCCAGGAGTAGAAGAGCTACTGGCCGCTTATCTGCTCCCTTCTTTCGCTATAGTTTCATTTCTTTCCGTTTTAGTTCATTCTTCAGTTCCGATTGATTGACACGTTGATACACACACATACACGAGTACACACACATATACGTATACATGCATAATAATATATTATAAAAAGGTTGCGCGCGACACGTTCATACACCGGTGATATACATGCAACATATATGTACGTGATCACGTTAATTCCCATCACGTATACACACACTACATATACACGCATATTACACGTATACAAACGTATACAGAAGCGTGCGCGAGCGCGTACAACGGATAACTTTTTTTGAATATATAATTTGGTCACGTGTAGAAAAGGGGAAAAAAAGGAAAGATAGAAGAAACGAAAGAAATCCGTATATAAAAGAAAAAAAGGAATCATTCGTTGATTGGTTTGTTGTGATTGACGAATAGCCCGTTCGATAATCATTATCCCGGCTTTCCTGTTTGTCATATGCTCAATGTACGGATACAATCGCGATCAGTTAGCGTATATTTAGATCCGTACCTGATTAAGTGTACAGATCCCGTAGTACCTGCGTCTTCTGTCCATCCAATGCGCGTGCAACAAGCCCGCGGGTTACTTGAGTTTTAGGAAAAGTAATTCTCGCATTCAGGTACGTGGACAAATTTCTATTATGTGATCTGCAAAAGCTGTTGCTTTTGCACTCTATTTGTGATCTCTTTTCGTGATTTCCTCCACGAAGCTCTCAATAATAGAGACGAGTGGATGTGGAAAAACCCTTAGACGAGATTACCGTTTTATCTGATTTTATTTGCACCATATATATCATTATAACATAAGAAATTTTATTTGAATATTTTACTTTTTTTTTGTGAGATATAAATTTTCGTTTTAAGACACAGAAAATCAAATTATGGTTAACTAATAGAATAAAATATGTCTCGTTTGGGGGTATTGTTTTCATGTAATTAATATAACAGAGATAACATATAAAAGAGATTGTGCATGTTTTTTATTCTTTTATTTCTTAACGTTTACACATTTATTTTATAGTGATAATTTTAAATTATAATATATGACTCTCCATTATTATTATTATTATTATTATTATTATTATTATTTTTTTAAATTAAGAAAGCATAAACATATTTATAAAGAGATTTTTCTTGACGAGTAAAATCAACGGGTATTCTGAAAAGTACGTAAAAAAAAAAAAAAAAATGACACGTGTATGACATCAGAAGAACGTAACAACCCTATAAATCAATCCTTTACGATTTGATATCGCGCGCTTGAATCATTGGATCATATCGTTGTTGCCATTACCGACTTTTTATATCCCTATCTATCAATTTTATTTTTGTATACGGAGATAGTTGTTAACCTACATACACTGCGTAAAGAAGCTTTTTTACGAAATTTATACGATAATATCGATGAGCTCGCATCACATACGCTTCTTATTACATTATTCTTTCTTTCTAGGTATCGTTACGAAAAATTTCGAGAATATTATTATGAAGAATTTTAACGAAAGGAATTTTCACGAATTTCAAATTGTTTCGAAGAATCATAGTTTATCTATCGATTAACGAGAATAAGCGCATAGAAGATAGCTATCTGTTGGATTTCACGGCTTTTCGAGCGACCTTTGCCCTGTTCTTGCTGGTAGCAAGTTCCAAACCGCCCCTTGTCAGCTGATTGAAATCGATAATGGTGAGCCTCGGCTCGGCGGGATGTCTGGACAGGGCCTGCACCCTGTCGAGCGGTGCCCCGGGGCTCCGGAACCTGTAGCTCCGGTTCCTGCACCCGCCGACGCCCGTTCCACTTCCAGTTCCGGTCCCAAGCTGGCTCATCCGCGTGCCGCTCATCGATCGACAACCGCCGCTCGCGGCCATCTCTGTCTCCTCTTGAAAGTACCTGCCAGTCACAATTCGCGTGTCATCTAACTTGTTCATTCTTTTCCTCG